TATTTTAACATATAGCGTATATGTTAAGAAGTATTGTCTTAAAACAATTTAATATTTTTGTTTTATTTGCACAATAGTATAGTATTTTTTAATGAATTGTGTTGCTATAAGAACTAGTATTATAAGAGAATCATAATACCAATGAATTAAACGTCAATTACCAGCCTGGAACTTGAATCACTAAACAGCCTTGCTCATTGCCTTGCGGTTTAGTAATTGTGAGTCGCGGTTTTTGCTGGGAAAAATGAGATTTCTATGAAAAGCGTGCACTGTGCACCTCCCATGTAAATTACAAAAATAAACCAACAAATTCCTAGTAATACATCTAAATCAATCCCCTTTGTATATAGTCTCTAGTTAATGCATAATTAATTTATTTGCATAAGATGGTATGCTTCTATTCGCAAAAGACGAGAAAAGAATGCTCTTTCCCGCGCAAACTGTTTATTACTTATCTACAACCTCCTTCACTATTCTATATTCCTAATAAGAAGTTGCTTTATTTCCCAAGGTTTCATAAGCAAAAAAGCAAAGTTAGTGGCATAATTTCTCTTGTCCTTTTGACTATAGTACTCTCTTTGTCGTACTCATCACGCATTCGTAACCTACAAATACTTTCCCGAGAAAGTACTAAGTAACTGCAGCCAACTATGCATGTAAATATCTATGTAGAAAACGGCTAAGAGTCTTAATGAATTTTCTCGATTGTAAACGTTTACAAATTCTTCCTGAATAATCCGTAATTAAGTTTCATATGGTTATTGCGTCTATTAGAAAATGGCGGGAAAGTAGTCTTTCTCTTTCCAACTATTCACATGAATTGTTCACGACCTCCATCGGTATTCTGTGATCCCATTAACAGGAGGCGTTTTCTCTCGAAATTTCGTAACCCGGAGTTAGGGATGAATCGATACAAGTAAATACGAGTACATTACTCGATACTTTTGTTTCGATACCGAGTACTTTTGGTATCGATACCTACAGTTGCGATGCCAAGTAGGATCGAGCAAAAGTACTCGTATCGAATGGTGCATACATACATTTCTAACCTTTCTGTTCGGTGCTATCCTTATCGGAGTACCCAGGAGTACCTTTTTCTGCATTTATGAAGCAGGATTTACTGCTGAACAACGTGTCTTACCTGTTGCTACATTGAATTTACCGCTATTTTTTTTACTAGGAATGAAATGGTACGGTTTTTCCACCTGGAAGCGAATAGAGGACACTATTTGGCTAGTGGCTTAAACGTTTCTCCGTGGATGGCGCTACAAACTCTTCGCTACGCGAACAATGAACTACTAACGATATCTCACGGCATCACCGTAATGTATAAGTGGCTACAAGCTTGGGCATTTCTCCGCAGATGGCGCGACCGTTCGATTTTTCATTGGTTATCAGATTTTCGAATTAATTACTTGATTCATGGGTTAATTGATTATTTGAATCGATTATTTTATTACGTGATAGTACTTACAAACATTTACAAATGTAACAAGTCAATTCGATTTGGCGTACAGGATCGTCGGAAAACCATTAGATATCGATTAATACCGGCTAACGTTGCGGATCAAATCAAATCGGACTCGTGGGGTCCCGCTCTCGGTCAGGCGGTCGACTGGATCTTTTAATTCGCGCGTCACTCGGGCGAAAACTCGCCGCTCGATTGACGGGGTTAACGAGCGACAGATGGATAGCGAGTGGGGTTAGGAGGGGATGAAACCGTGGACAAAATTGAGGAAACCAAAGTTTAACGCGGTCCCTTTAAAATAAATATTAAACACTCACGGACGAAGGGGCAGGTGGGGAACCGTCGACAATGAAAACGGATGAAAGTGGGCGTGTCCTCTCGCGTGGGGGAGGTGAGAAGGGGCGGTGCACCGATAGAAAGCAGCTTTGTACAAATGCAATGACGGCTCAAGATCGCATGTGTGTGTGTAAGTACCTACTGTCGTGAGTGGAACAATACACAGATCCGATCTTGCTCGTTTCTTTCCCTTTCTTTGTTCCGCGGTAGGTGGAGGGGGAAGGAAGGGGATGGGGGTTGGAGGGGAATCGTGTATCGCGTTCTGCCTCGTTTTCAAAACACACAAACGCGCGCACATACACACTCGCCCTGAATCTGAACGCTTTCTTGCGCGCGATCGATGATCCTCGATTTATTATTCCGTATCCTTACGCGTATTACTTCTTATCGTTTATATACTTTAATTATTACTTCCATATAGATGCGTGTCGTTGGCTGTTACGTAGAAAATAAATAAGCCGGTAGTAGCGAAGACCAAAACTGACTAATCCACTATGCTGCATCGAGATCACGCGTATATTCAAAGAAAGTGGAAACCGCACGCGCGCGCGACACAACGAAAAAACGGGTGTAACGAACGGTGGTGGTAGGGGGAGGGGCTTGGCGGTTGGAGGAGCTGGGGGAGGATCTAGGGGGTGGAGTTGGGCGGTGGGGTGTCAAGCAATGATTCGAATCTATCCGCTATTAGGCCTCTCGAAGCAAAAGTATGCGTGTATCGATTATATAGGTTATACCTCGGATTTTGTTTATCTGTCGAGCGTTCCGTTTACGCACGGTCACCCTTCACCTTCGTTTCCATGAACTTTCTTCTCCAGGGGGCCGGGGAGAGCCACCGTCCCAAACGGACGTCAAGGGGACAACCGATGATTTAAAACCGGACTTGATCGCAATCAATGAGATACAAAAATGACTGGAGTTTCCTACCGTCTAAAAATGGGGTGGTCCCATGTGTTATGAATCACCCTCTACATAAAACTAAACGTCGAGAAACGCTTCGTTCACGTTTTTATCAATCTCGTCCACTTGGCTCGGGGAATCTCCGCAACCTCGTCCCGTTTTTGCTCGGTCCACGTGACGGCTCGAGGGGCGTGACGAAGGGTGACATAACCTAGAAACTAGACCGCGCGTGAGGTGACGCTCGCCGCGACGTCGAAGTGTCTGTCGACGAACTGATGCGATCCAAGCGAATCAATTAATCGGCTAAGTGTAATCAGGAATGAATCATTGTGTATTTTTATGTGTGTGTGTGTGTGTGTTTGTATGCGTATGTGTGTGTGTGTGTGTGTAGCGTGAAGGCGGCGAGGATGATCGTCGACCCGCTAGTTTTTTCATTTTCCTTGTTTTTAGTATAGTCAGATGTGACCTTAAAGTACCGGCACGCCACTCGCGGCGGGTCGCGACAACTCGCCCCCCGATCGGTAAATATTGAGCAATGTTCCTTTCAATCTTCGCGCGTCTGCCCGTCGAAAAAGTTCATCGATCCTTGAAATGATCCTTCTACCTTACGATTCTTTCGACCATGCCCACTTCGCATTTTCTATCCCGATTCGTCTTCTCCACGGGTCACGTATGACTCAGGCGTCTGTCTCGATGGCCCGTTTCTGCGAGGATCAGCGTCACTTAAAAACGTACGAACCCATTACTCGTCTACGACTCACCAGAGACACATGGAAGCGCGACCATTACTCGTAAGCTCTCGCGTGTGAGTGACGGTGCTGCCTTCTGTAGTTTCGAACGCGTCACTAACAGCGCCATCTGTCAAACAGAGGTGGAAATCACAGTGTAGCTGCGCGAGGGTTGATTCTCTCTCTATAAATACGACTCGAAAATACGAAACGAAACCGTTCTTACGGTAAATTAATAGAAAGAATTTGTATTCTTTAATCCTTTGTCAGTTTGAAATTACATTACCTCTTGTAAATGTTACCGCGCGTACTATGATCGACCATTAGTCGGCCCACCGATACTGCCATTTACAAATATTGGATTTTCTCGAGAACGACGGATCGTACGACGAAAGGTCATTCCAGATTTTCGCTTCGTTTTTCATCGTAGAATCAGCCCTCGTTTCGTTGCAACATAACTTTCACCCTGTTCCGCGTGATTCACATGATTCGATGAGTCCCAATAACGTCCGTCTATCTAGTCTTACATACCCACTTAAATACCTCGTTTAAATACAAATTTCCTTGCTGCTTTGTAGGATATACTGGATAATACTCATGCACGTGTAATACTCCGAGGGTCGGATCGAAAATGCGAAACAGGCGGTATGGTCGAGAGAGCTATATGATCTTTCATAGGGAACCGAGCCGTGTGTAGTTCTTTCTCGGTGTTTGTTCTTCGAATTTCCTTTTTGTTCTGCGTTCGTTTTGTTTCTTTCTTTTTTTTTTTTTTGGCACAGTCGTTGCGAAAGGGGGTTGCTCGAGAAACAACACTCGAGTCTACCGACACACCCGAGTACCGTTTGGTATTCTCGCGGAGAGATCTCGATCTCGACCGAAGGTTTACGCCTCGATTACACTTGCGTATCCCGGACATATCCCGTTACACGATTATTTAATACTATTTACCGTTTAATTATGATAATCGGATATTATAAATTACGCGGTGACTCGCTTCTCTAACACCTCTACGCTTCTGTACCTCTACCTGTTCCGCGGGTCGAAGTTTCGCCCCGTGGGGCGAACACGCACACGTTAACTCCGATGTGCGTCAGCCACCGGCAGAGTTGTCAGGAATAACTACTCTACATCATGAACTCGATGAAATTTCATAGAGATTTAGGGATCTTGTGTGGCGTGGACAGACCTTGCGCGCCGTGCACACTGTGTGATACCTATTGGTACTAATCCGCGGTGACGTCACTGTGCAGGCTGTCCTAAAATGATAGGACAAACTGCACCACGCATATTCCTCGTGCAAATACAAATCGAAAAGTCCTTTACCGTTTTGTAATCCGAAGCTCCGTTTCCGAGATATTAGCAGTTGAACGTTTTCCAATCAGCTGAGCGGTCGGCTACAGTTACTCGCATACGCTTAGCTGATTGAGGTTCGTTCAACTGCTGATATCTCGGGAACGGAGCTTCAGATTACAAAACGGAAAGGGACTTTTCGATTTGTATTTGCACGAGGAATATGCATGACCCCTAGATCTCTATAAAAATTCACCAGGTTCGTGGTTTAGAATAGCTATCCCTGGCAACTCTGGCTACCGGGCCCACCACATGGTATTCAATCCTCTACTCTCACGGTCGGCCGTACTCACGGCGTCTCTCTCTACCGTTGACACAGACCCGTCAGAAATTCGATTCTCATCCCTAATACTGAAAAGCGTCCTCCCGTGGGTCTGAATGATAATCTCGACCGTTTCGTGTGTTCAGGGCTCCTAGCGCGCACGGTAACCCTCTTTCCAGTGTCTAGGTCCGACCGTCATTAGTCCCCCACCACTAGAAAATCGCGTGTACAAAGCATATCCCTCGGATTCCCCGCGGCCCGGGCGACGCTGGATGACAGGGTTAACTCGCGAGCACGGCCTCCGCGGCGGAGGTGATCTTGATCAAGGACGATCGACTTCTCGGTCACAGAATATCGGTCTCGTAGATCTTGCTGGTGGTCGTGGTGGTCGTATTCGACGTGGCGATGGTCAGAACCGCGGCAGTCGTCGGGACGATTCCAGTCGGTTGGCCGTTCGGTTCGCCGATCATTCCAGGGCCTGAGATCGAATTCGTCATCGTCTTCATCATCTCCGTGTCCCCGTTGTTCATGTCTTGTCCCAACGGTTGTTCGTCCACCGAGGACTCCTGGGAGACTGACGGTTTCCCGGTCAGACTGGTCAAAGATCCGGAACTGGCGGTGCTAAGACCAAGTCCCATCTTGGCCAGCAGGTTACTCTCCGATCCCGTCTTCTTCAGAAGATCAGGCGGAGCTGGCGGTATGGTGGTTAGACCTGCTGTGTTCCTCTGCAGCTGCTGGAGCCTGGCGTATTGCTCCTGTAGAGCCTTTTGCTTGCGCAACAGCTCCTGGTGTCGTTGCTCGAGTAGCTCTTGCCTACCCTTCTTGTTTTGCAGGCCTTCCTGCGAGTTGACACTTTCGCAGGAGCTCGAATTGCTGGCTGACAGCACCGCCGACGACTGGGACGAGGAGGAATTATGGAGAACGGGTTCCAGAGTTGGGACAACGTTGTTGGTAGCTTCAGCGGGCAGGGCCATAGGCGGTTTGCCCTCTTTGGGCAAGGTACCCCTGGCCGGAGGCCTTCGTAGAGTGGTGTTACCGGTCTGCAGGTTGCAGGCGTGGTTCCTGGGCGGCAGCTGGGGACTAGTCGGGCTGGCCAATGGGGATCTGGAGCTGGTCCTCGGTGGCGGTGGTGGGGGTACCCTCCTGGCGCTGGCCAGCTGCAACAGTTCAGCGTTCCTCTCAGGCACAGGGGGCTTCTGACCTGGTACAAAGCCCTGGGGCAGGACAGGTAAGCTGGGCTGATCCTGCAGAGACACCTGGAGTCTCGCTATGGGCGGCGAGGTGTCCGTGTCCGAGCTGGACGGGTACGAGTGAAGTCTCCTTAGTGTACCACCAGGAGTCGGGGCGGTGGCTGGCCCCGTCACGGTCCCGCTGGCTAGAATCCCACTGGAAGAGTCCACGCTACCCTTTCTGCCTATGTCCGAGATGCATGGAGCTCGTCCAGGTGTCCCCGGGCCCGGTGGAACACCCGCTTCTCTGCTATTTGACCTTCCTAGGTCCGAGAGCACGGCTGCCGCACCTGGGACGTGACCGAGCTGGGAGCTAGGTCTCGAGAATGTCTGCAGTTCGTCTAACAGAGCGTCGAGTGCGTTCTCCGGACGCTGCTGATGGGCGGCGGATGGCTCGTGAGGGTGGGACCCTCCCCCGATGACGCTCGCTGACCCCACGACAGTGCGTTCCGCTGGCACAGGGGCAGTTGCCTGTATTGGGAGACATGGTCAATGGTTAAGTTCGGGCAGCTGTGTTCGCGTGGACCTGCGCTAACGGGGACACATGTCGATGGGACAAGTCTTTTTGCTGGTTTACCACGCGTACTGGACGGCGGTCCTTCGGGCACTTTGGAGGATCGAGGGGAGGAGCTGAAGCGCCGAAGGGCGAAGGCTGAGGATGCTGAACAACGAATATGGGGGATGTATCGAGTAGGGGTTGTGCACGCGGATAATGAATATCATTATGAACTTCTCTTGTTCGGTACACTCTAGGAGAAGGTTCCTGTGTCTTGGTTCAGCGGGTTCGCTAGGACGTTCCGCCACACGCGTGGTGATCCAGGGATTCAGAGTTGTCCATCGTTGGGGCTCCGTGTGCATGCGAGCGTGGGGCGTCGATGGTGCCTCCTCCTCCGGGGTCTCGCCAGAAGATGAAGGGCGGGATTATATCGTTCGAAGAAATAGACATTTCCGGTTGGAGTGTGCCTTCTGACCAGATTGCCCTCGGAGGGAGTTTTATTTCTCGGAAGCGATGCGCGTCGGGGCACCGTCGAATCTCTGTCGACCGCCACGCTCGTGGGCGTAGTCTCGCGAAGAGGATACGCCCATGGGCGTGGTCTATGAACAGTGGGCGGTTTGAACTTCTCTTTATCACCAAGATGGCCGAAAAATAAAGGTTCGACGGGCCTTGATTCGTGTATCTTATAGTCTACGTCATGCTGATAAAAGATATGCGCGCGAATGTGTAACATGCAAGATGCCGGTGAGACAATAATAAATGGTGAGCGGGGTGCTAGGCGTGAGGGTGTGAGAGAGAGAGAGAGAGAGAGAGAGAGAGAGAGAGAGAGAGAGAGAGAGAGAGAGAAAATACGTGAAGAGAGGCGAAGAAATTAATATACGATCGAAATGAAGAGAGAACGATGAGATCAAGAAATGAATGTCGATTGAACGATGCGAGTCGATGCACGATATACCGGGTGTCCCGAGAGGAAACTGACTACAACTTGTATATGATCCTCGACAACCCAGCAAAAACATTCACCAACCTGTTTCCATTGTTTGTAAAAATGATAAAATAAGATTGAAAGACAGGTGAGGTGTCCCATCGTTATTGTATAAATTTACAACAAATGGAAATTGCTTTTCTTCGAGAATGACTAGTAAAGGATACTTGGCTCGTCGATTACATCCGGGGACACCAGGTATATGTATTCCGAGTCGCGGACATTGAGATCGACCGAAGCAAAGATTAATGGTTTTGCGAGAACGAGGTACATGAGACGAGAGAATGAAAAGAACAAAAAAAAAAAACGGCGTATAAACAAAATTACAAAAATGGAACGAAACGAAAAAGAAAGAAGAGAAACGAGTAATACGGTATTGTATTATTTCCGTTTAGATAGTTACCTGCGGTCGGGTGTTATGCGTTTTGTGCGTGCGTTGTGCGTGTTACAAGTCAGTACTCGTTTGAGGCTCTTTTACGTATGGCATCGATTGCTGTCCGGTATTAGTCAACTTAAAAAAAGAAACAGAGAAACGGAAAAATCAAAAAATCGAAAAATCGTAGAGACAATGTGCGGTTGGATATAATCTGGGTCGCGTCAATATAGCTCGATCCGCGCGTGCCCTCTATCGGGTTTTATTGGTAGAACCGCCCATCGTAAATCCTCTTAGTTTCAGTGTGTCCAACGTGACGTGGGGAACGGAAAAATAGACAAGGGAAGCGATTCTGCTGGACTATGGGAAGGGGGGGGGGAGGGGCGTCGTCGTCGTCGGGCGTCAAAGAACAGACACGAAATGAAGTGACATAAAAAAAAAAGAAATACAAAAATTCACTGAAAGTTGGTTCCACGGTTTTCTTAGACACCCGGTAGATCGACCCGCGGTCTCGAAGCTCGATAAGTTTACCGCGCGCATGCACAGAAAAACACTACGTGCTCGGAAAATACGTTCAAAACACACACCTACGTGTATCATCGTGCACACACATACACACACATGCGGCATGCGTCTTCTCTGCGTATATACACACACACACGAGGGAGAGGGGAGGGCATGCTCGAGCATAATACAGTAAAAATTCGATTAGTGCTCGATACGATCTACAGCCTAAGAAAGCAGTGACCATCTCCATCGTTGAGGGGGGATTCCCCTTGACGCACCGTGAAGGTCAGTCCTTCTTTCCTCTTTCACTCGCTGTCCTGTTATTTTTCTATATTTAGAGTCGATCCCGCTACTTCATAAGCGCCCGGCTTCGTTTGAAATTTTCGGGCACTAATCCAAGTCTTACTGTATATACATATATATATACGGCAGCTTTGTAAACAGAGATGTGACAGTGGCAACGATCCCCAGTCAGAGAAACAGAATCGAAACCTTCGGTCTAATCCTTATAGTAAGGCTGTATGTACACGTGTATATACATGTGCATATATACACGGATTCGAGAGCCGAACAGCTGCGTATATACGGTGTTCGTATACGCGGTGATACGGTTGCACGTGTTCTTGGTAGTGGGAGGGGATACAGCGTGGTCGTGGCCTTGATTGGGCAATAGTGACTTAAACGTTCGTGCTACCTTCGACTATCGTCTATACGCGAACACTTCCTGGTTTTCTAACCCTCTTTCCGCGTGACATATGAAGGAAAATGTGGTGTTTGAAGATTGTGGTCATTGATCTAATATACATAGGTACACTTCACGACTACACTACGCAGTATCCCCTTCCGTAAACAACACGTGTATAGATGGGCAGGGGCGTCTGTTGTGCCGAGCAACTTTGCTGTCATCCACCAGATTGGGATACTCCCCCCGCCCCCTTTGTCCCATTAGCGAACAGATGCAAGTGACTAGATGGGGATGTAATGTAACTGAGAATCACTGGTGAGACGGCGATGAGGGGGAATACGCGAGGGTGTGAAGGAGATAGCTTGACCTTACAGACGTTGACAGAGTTGCTTCGTGCTTTATGACGGATCGCCCAATACCTCTGTGGCTTTCGAAGACACGGAAGTGTATAATGATGATGATTCGGTCGAAGTGAATATGTTGGAAACAGGCGACAATGATACTGACGGGAGACTTGGGGGATCCTCCCTCGATATAAGCTCACGGAAGGGACCGACAGCCTTTTTTAAAGAACAGAAAAATGTCCGGGGCACCGTTACCTCGCCCACTACCGATCGAGGGAGGCATGGCCCCGCCCAGTACCGACGGAAAGGGGGCGCAGCGCCGCCCACTACAGATAGAGGAGACGTGGCCCCGCTCACTACCAAGGGAGGGGGACCGTAGCGTCGCCCACTACCGATAGAGGCGGAGCACAGCCTCACCCGCTACCACAAAATAACAGTAACATGATATCAATAGATCTCTATGAAATGTGCAGGTGAATGAAGGCGGTCGAGGTGGAACTTAAAGAAAGCCTTGAGTACATTATCTCCCCTCCCTGTTCTCATGCAGTTCAACCAATACTCTCGTTCCTTCAGAAGCCACAGAGAACACCTTGGGCGTTCGTTCTAATTCGCCACCCTGTATATACGATATACAGAGAGACAGAGACAGAGAGAGAGAGAGAGAGAGAGAGAGAGAGAGAGAGAGAGAGAGAGAGAGACAGGCAGATAGAAAAATAGATACAGAGAGAGAAAGATAGAGAAAGAGGTCGTGGGGTAAGGAAGAAATATAGAATAGGGGCATGTGTATACAAATCTGTGTATCGTACAAAGTACCGGAATGGAGGGGAGAGTGAATGAAAGTCTGATGACGACAAAACGATGGGCGAATGATCGTCCTGACGATCGAGCGAGATGAGCGCAGTGCTGGGTGGTGGATGTTTCGTAATGACCGCGGGAAATTCGGACGGCGAATGAATAATTTCACGAAGATAGATTACACGCGAATGATTCTTGCCGTTCGGGCCGTATAACGACCAGGCAGCACGAATTATTTCGGCTCGGTGTACCGAGTGATCTTAAAAACTGGGCCAGGTGGACAATCAATTATCGGGATAAGAATGCCTCGGATCCGTCGGTTCGACGATACGTCATTGCCTCAACGGTTGCACACCCTAAGGGGTCTGTCTATTCTAGTTCTAGGCGAGGCCGCTAAGTAGCAGGTACATCGCGCGCCATCTTGAATTCGCAGCGCAAAGCATTATACTAGATTGAAGAAAAAAAAATAAACTGTTCAGTGATTTTTTACTAAGTCATTTCATTAATTCAAAAGCCCGGCCCAGTGTCTCGTATCACCCTAACGTACCCGAAAGAAAAGCCAGGAACTGAATTATGGCGAGCAGAGAAGAAACAACGACAGAAGTCCCCTGATTTGCAGTCGTTCAATTTTTCAGGGGCATTTTGCTTTCTTTCTTTTCCACGAAAATTCTTTGTCTTCTCTCCCCGCGAGTCGACCGGTGCCAGGGAGGAGAGGAATGATGAGGCGAGGAGTCAGCGCTTTCGACGACGATCACGTGCAATTTCGTCGCCGTGGTCACATTAAAAATCGGGGGAAATCCAATGTAAACCTTGTATGTCGCGAAACAAAGACGATTGGTGGGGGGGGAGGTGGTTGGTTTCGAGGGGTGGGTTACACCTTACTATAAGAAATTGGATTCGAACAAGCGACTGTATTTTTTTCGATTGACGCCATTCCGCGGTTCGATTCTGCATTACACAGTACATCATCGATGAGTGTTCGAGGGCTCCTCGGCACTGAGTATTCAGATGTTATCCCCACCACTGGGGCGTCCTCCATCGAACCGGCCAAACGCCCAGTGGTGGGCATGACGTGTGAATACTCAGTGCCGAAGAGCCTTCGAACACTAATCGATAATTTACTGTATTCCATGGCAACTTGTATGAGACGCGTCGAAACGTTCCACGTTGCACGCGAGCAAAATTATCATTGGCGAATGGTATTATGCATCTAGAGAGATAAAGAAAGAAAAAAAAAAGAAACAGAGAAATTCTGCAAATACAATTATCGAAAAAATGAATATAAAAGGAAGATTGCGTTTGAGGCCAAGTGAGAGAGAGGCGCGTAGCACAGAGCGGAGGATCGTTCGACTTCCGGTTCGTCACGTGACTGTCGGACGCATCTCAGAAGCGGTTTTTTTATGGGGGTGGGGGGTTGGGGTTGGTTAGCTTGGACAAAAAACGATCAAAAGCTCTACGGTTTCGAGTCAGAGATGCAGAACAACGTGAAGAAAGAGACAGACAGAAAGAGAGAGAGAGAGTGGGGAGAGAATACGATACGGCGACGTGACGCGTTTCCGGCGGAGGAGGCGGGTATACGGCGAGAGAAAGAAAGAGAGAGCGAGCGTCGACTGCTTTGGCGGTGGTAGGGGGCGGGGAAAATTTTCGAGTCTCGCGGAACAAGCACGCGTCGAGACGTAAGATGTGTGCGTGTGTGTGAAATGAGTGTCTATTTGTGTGTTGTGTCACGGTGGCAGAGCTCTCGAAGTATTCTGGCGGACTTCTGGTTCGGCGGGACTTTGGAATTTCGCGGTCCTTTTCGAATTTTTTATTCGCCGGAATGCTTCGAGGTATGCTTAAGGATAGAACAGTTATGGAACAGTATGACGATTTTGTGCGGCAGACATCATAATACCGACGGAAAAAAAGTATGTATGTATATACATATATATCTATATATACATACAAATATGTACATACATGTATGAACGTCCGTGTGGTTGTATTCTTTTGTGAGAATGTGTGCGTGTGGTGTGGGCTTATGGGCGAATATATATATATATAAATGTATATATATATATATATAGTATATAAAAATAGTACAGAATAATAATAATAATGATAAGAGTAATGATAATAAGTAGAAGTATTAATAATAATAATAATAATAATAATAATTAATAATTTATAAATATGAATCAGTAATAAATTACTCGTGACTGGTCTGTATGGCCTCCTTGAAGTTAGTACTCCACTTCCAGCCATACTAAAAAATTAATTTCACTCTTTCACTATTCTGTAGCCTGTAACCCTAGCTTGTAGGTTTTCATTAAAAAGGAAAAAAGAGAGAGAATGTATATATATATATATAAAGTATATTGAAAAGCGTATGTACAGAGTGTCCTGTGACCGTCGGTACGATACGACGGGTCAATTCTACGAGAAAATACGAGTCGATAATGTGGAATTGATTTCGAGATTGATTCAGAATTGATTGGATGATCTTCACGTGCGGGGCTTTGTTTCCGAGAGAATCGAGTTTGAATGTCGACTGTCCGCGCACTCTGAGTGGGCGGAGCCTTGGGCGCGCACACTCGGAGTGGGCAGAGTTTCAAGGGCGCGGGCGCCCAACGATTCAGCCACGATTTTCTCGCGAACTGAGCCTCGCACGAAAAAATCTCAATCTACACATTCGATTCATTCTTTCGGGTAGAATCTCGGGTCGGAACACCGATCACGGGACACCATGTAGATATTCCTTTAGTTCTGTATGACTAGCGTGACCCGCGTCGCTTACGATTCCCCCGTGCACACAAGATCTTTCCTTTAAACAGAACGATTCAGAAACCGGAATCGGAACCTCTCGCTTCGCTCGTAATATATCATCGGAAAACAGAAAGCGAGAGACAGATAGAGAGAGAAATAAAGAGAAGGAGAGTAAGAGAGAGAGAGAGCGAGAGACCTTCTGGCGAGCAAGCAACAGAATGGGAACCAAAACCGACTCTCTCTACGCGACGCAGATTCTCGTTCGTCTCAGTTTTCAAAACTTCTCTTCTAAATATATTGTATATATACATATATATATAAGTTTCTTAAGTCACAGCTAACACTGAGAATGATCTGACAAAACCGACGCTCGCTGGTCGTCGCCACGCCCACCGGGCGTCAACGACCGTGACCACATAGTCTTGCCACATCATATAGGCTAAACGTATAAATAATATACTATACTATCGGGACACAGCAAACACTGAAAATATATTGGTTGTTGGGGGGGTTGATCAGGGTGGAGGGGGTCCGATGTCACACCGGGGGACAAGTCGGAAAAGAGGTCGCGGCGGTTACCAACTTGTCCCCCCGTTGTATTCCTTGGGAAACGCGTCGAAGTCCCCCTCTATTTTTTTCCGAATAAATAAACAAAAAAAAAACAGACCCTGAGTCGCGATGGAATTTTGTGTTCCTGGCCGGAGGTTAATTTTTTCGGCTCGTCGGTTTATCCCCCACCCCCCCTCTCCTATCACAATGGAGCGTCCAGGCCGTGAATTTCGTGTCTCGTGGACGGGCTCGTTCCCCGAAACGAGTCGCGCGCTGTGTTCCCTGAGGAAAGGTTTACATTAGATTTCGTGTACCGAGAACAAGGATCGACCAAGAGTCCGGGAGGATGATCGGAGATTGGAGGCGTTTCGAACGTGTACACTCGCCGCTCTTAGTTAGGCGGGTGGTAATCGTGGCCCCGCCCACTACCGAGTGAGAGTGGGCCGTAGCGCCACCCGCTGTCGATACAGGTAGACGTCAATCCATCCAATACCAAGGGAGGGGAGCTGTAGCGCCGCCCACTATCGACCGAGGAAGGGCGTGGCCCCGCCTACTATCGAACGAGGGAGCGTGGGCCCGCCCACGATCGTACTGGGGCATCATGTTCCGTATTCGTGTCACCGAGTGTACGCGTTCCGGAGCCAATTCGCGGGACTCGTTGCCAGGCACGCGTAGATCGATCCTCTGAAGCTTGATCCGCGCGCAGAGAGGAGAGACAAGTCCAAGCGTTCTCTGTCGCAGCTTCGACTCCCCGTATGTCGTGGTGGGAGCCACGTGTCGTACGAAACACACGTGCGTATGTACAGTACGCATACAGAGTATACAGGTACGTATACACGAATACAGAAAGTAAGTACAGATGCATATATACATATAGATATACATATACCTGGCTGGGTCAGAAGTTGGGTCATTGTGCGACACGTCGACGCGACTTTTGGCTCAGCCAGTGTATCTATATATTACGTGTACGATACATTGGTGTGCCAGTGTGTATACCGGGTGAGCTAACAGGAGGTATCAGGACCATTTTCAGCGAAGATGACAAAGTTGATACATTTGTGTGTCCTTTAAACGGAGACCTTTTTCTTAATGCAAGATGATGATATAAATTGTTTAGGTGTGATTGTTTATGTAGACAAAATTAGCTTCTTTTCGGGTAATACGAAAAAATTTATGATAAAACTGACGTCGCATGCTACTCAATGATAATGTCACGCACTTAGACAATCATTTCTTTAGCCACTAATTTTTCTGTCTTCGCCAAAAAACGGGTCCCAACTTCCCAAAGCCATTTCTGCATACACACACACACACACACACGCACACATACGTGTGTATACATACACATACACGTGTATATATACATGTATATATATGCGTAGACAAAATTCTATATATCACTCGGTGCATGCGCTCTTTAGCATAAATAGGATACGGGGGGTAAGCGGTGGTCAGACTTGATACACGTCACTGCAAAGATATACCACACATCGTTTTACTCGGTTAGGCCAAGAGATAGACAGAGAGATCTACAAAGCGTGGATTGGTGTCTTCGACGACAGTCTACTTCGCCGTAGGTCTTCGTTCCTCCAGAGGTTCAACGCAGGAGGTCGCAACGCGGACACAACTAATTAAACCGGGGGCTACCTGCACTTCGAAATCTATTTCCTTTTTTTCTCAGTGGACAGTATATCGGGGATACGTGGACTGGACGTGTCGCGAAATGGAGGACCTGTTGCCGAATACACGCGGATCATCGAAATTTCCCGTGGATCGAATTTTTCTGCTTCCTTTTTTTTCTTCCTTCCCGCGAGCAGGGAGGGGGGTGGTTAGGGCGCGTCAGACTGGACTCGGAGGATCATTTTTCGGGTCAACGATTGTTGGATCAACGGTGGTACCATGCACCGGAAGTAGCCGAGGAATAACGGAGGTCCAGGAGAGGTGGACGACGGTAAAGGGGGCGGGAATTTTTCGGGCGGGAGTACGGATAAATAAATAGTCAGACAGACAGATAGACAGACGAGAGATAGAGAGAGAGAGAGAGAAACTGAATTGAGAAAAAGAAAGGGAAGACAGAGAGCGAGCGAGCAGCCGGGGCAAGTCAAGTGTTACCTTGGAATGCTGAGCCGACGTGGGCGTTATTGGGGGCGTCTCCTCCGCGTCCACGCTCGTCGCGTTTGGTAATCGCTGCTCCTGCACCGACGCCAAGCTGTGAACACAGAAGCGTCTTCTCTGAACCCGGTCATACCTCGAATTGTTGCTCAAATCACAGAGTGAGGTCCAACTTGTGGTTGTAATTGGAAATTGAGAAATTTTACAGAAAGTCGTTGGAGCAATGAAGCATCCACGTTTTGCACTCTTACTTTCAATACGACTAAGGAGCAATAGATGGCACTTGGGAGATAGATATCCTTATAGACATAATGTTAGGGTGTTACAGTTAGGTTATTGTTATGGGGTCAGGGTACTATTATAGGGTTAGGGTACTTCTATGGTGTTAGGATGTTACTGCAGTATATACTGTTTCTAGTGAGTTAATGTGGGGACCATCACGTACCGTTTGAGCGTCACTAGGGTACCGGTGAGCTTCTTGCAACGCCTCAACGCGGTCTCCAGTCGTTCCGGTTCCTCCTTCAGGAACTTCTCTTCGCGCACCACCTTCTCCATCTCGGAGCTCAGGAGACCCTTCATGCCCTCTTGCAGACTCGGAAATCGTACCTTCAGATCCGCCACCGTTTTGCTGAAAATCGGCGTAACAGTTGTAATCGAAAGTGCTCCTGAATTTTTGAATAGCGATTTCTTACCTTGATTTGCTTAGGATCAAGGCCATGTTTTCCACGTCCGACATGTTCACACGAGTCTTCCGGTTGATCACGTTGCCACGGAGTTCCTCCACCGTGCTCTCCAGCTCGCTGAAACCGTTCGTTCAGTTAGAACTCAGTAGACCAATCATTTTTTAGGCTATACCTTAACCTAGAGGGAGCAGCGAATCATGACACTCACGTCAGATCTTTTTCCAGCCTCAGCATCTCCTGCTTGTAGAGGTCTTCCTCGCGGCTCAGTCGGATCTTCTCGGCATCCCCGGTGGACCAGGCGGCGTCTCCACCCGACAGTAACATTGCCCTGCAATAAACCAGTATTAGTAAAAGTTTAATATTAGTAGAAGCATCAGTAACGTTTCAGCATTAGTATGAATGAAATGAATCAGAAGAATCCCAATAGCTTGGTCAGCTCAATAGTGAAGGTGGCAGACATTCCCTATTACAATTAGTTACCCCTACAGGTGACTCCTGAGATAATATCTTAGAACCTAATCTATAACCTTTACCGATGTGTCCACTAGCACGTTCAAACTGAAACACTCCTATGTGTCCTTGTCTCCTTTTTTTTTTCCAAAGTCTCCCTATCATTTTATTACAACTATTAGAATACAAATGACTATCTTAGAGTACCTGATGGTGATGAATGTGTCCCTGATCGTCTCCCTAACGGTGTGCGCCTGCGCCTGAGACATGCGCCTCAGGTTTCTGACCTCTTGCCTCAGGTCCTTTGCCTTCTTCTGTAGCCCGCGTAGCTGGTTGTACATTTCCGGCGTGAGAGCCAGGTCCCGATAGACGTATTGCCCGGCGACCAGGGCAGCCGGCTTCGGCGGCGGTGTCGGCTTGTGCCTGTCTCTCTCTGAAACGATTGGAGGTTAGGTTCGACCGGTTCCCTTCCGGTAGCTATCCACGTTACCCACAGACACGGGTTCAAGCTGTTTTGTTTTGGGATTTCCGCCCTTTGAACCGTGCGAAAATCTTCTGCCACTCGTTCTTGACCTCTCGAAACGTAAACTTCCGAATTGTTTTAAAAGTATTTACGGTTGGTAGATCGTTCCACTAACCGGATGGAGCATCTACTGCCCTTGGCAAGAGAGATTGAATAAAAAATTCGCCAGGTGTTTTGTTATTAGGGTTATGCAATTCTAGTAATGAGTACTGTCTTACGGGTAAGACACAGAATTAATTACGCTTTTCACACGATCCAAAGGTCGAGAGGGGTGTGAGGGAAAGGGACGTAGCGATCTGATTGTCACCTCGAGCGGTGATGTTCGATTGGCTTGATCACGATCATTCGAGGAGAACCAAGGATGATCGATGTTGTTGTTGTGTGGGGGGGGGGGGTGTAGGGCATGAAAACACAAAATGGCGGACGAACGGTCGAACGGAAACGGTAAATCGGCGCATCGTTTCGTCGATCCGACCGCTGGACAGACACACACGACACAAAAGGAGAGGGAAACGTTAGAGACGAGACGAGTTTACCTTGCGAAGACATCCTCGGCAACGTGGAGGATTTGATCGCCGGTTTCGTTGGCTTAGTGTCCGCTAGTCGTGGTAGGCATTGCACGAGAAGTAGTGGTTAGAGATTATTGCGTTAGTTGATTGATCGTTCCGACGCGCCGCGGTTCTCGCTGAACAAACGATGGAGCTCTCGGATCCATGGACGGTAATCGCTCGATCGTTAACGATCCTTTAATAGAACCGATTATACCCGTCATTTCGATGGTAATCTCGCGGATTACGAGATGGAATTACGAGAACGGGTTACGAGCGGATCACTGGTTCTTGCTCCAGCGTTTGTGCGAACGATATTATCGTATATAATCTGTCGGATGACGCGATTTCACCGAAAGGAGGGTGCTCCGAGTGCGGAGCGGTTCCATAGACGCCCTCAAGATTGTTACTTTGATTCTTTCCGTCGGTATAATCTATTTTGTTCATCTATGATCTATAATCCATGGACTTATAGATCAATGATCTATGAATCAACGATCTATGAATCAACGATCAATGATCCATAGATCTATGAATTTATAGATCTACAATGTAAGTTCGGGCTGCAGGAGAGTTTTCCGATCTTGAACGCGGCAACGGAATCGCTACTGACTCTATCGTAGTGTGCAAAGTGCAGTAATGGTTACCTGCGTGTTGCGGGGAATGCTGTTTGGGAGAGTTCATGTCTGGAGGCTCGTCACTGAAGGACACTGACTTTTCGAACGACACCGACTTGTCTGGAATAGATGTTGATCAGCGTATTTTTGCGGTTTCGTGCCCGAGAGGGTGAAGCGTGGCAGAGCGTGCGCGACAAACGTTCGAAAAAGGAAACGGTGGGGGTGGGTGGGAAGGGCGGATGTGCTGTGAACACGTCGAGCGGTGAAACCGAAAAGAAAAACGGTGCGACACGTGTGCGTCCCGAGCGGGGGTGAATTCAGTGGAAACTGGTGAAAAGACCCCGGCGGTGAAGCGAAACGAGTAACTGGGTGCTTGTCGAAAATTTCTACAGCTCCACAAATTAAAAAAGGGAACGAAAAAAAATTTGTTAATGGAACTCTCACGCGTTGAAAGTGAAACTTGATAGCATCAGTTTTATTAAATACCAAAATATTTCATTGTTCTTAATGTGACTCATACGACAAATGTCACGATTCACTGTCACGCGAAGACGTACCTTTACGCTACCGCGGCTAAAGAAGTTTCACTTCAGTAATTCAGAATTTATAGTATTTATTATTATTACCGTTCTTTAAGAAACTTCCTTTTTTAAATTTGTCTAGCTGTAGACGCTGCTCAAATAATTCTTGCCGTGGATAGCTAGTCGCTTTATGGAGATTGCAGCACGAATTATTCGAGCGGCGATGTACACCTCGCGGAATAGAAACAAGCAGGGCGCCGTGAGAAACGAAAGAGGTGGGAGCGAGGGCGTGAGCGTGCAGACGAGCACAGAGGATCACACGAGCAACTAGGCGAGTGGCGGCGATGCTTTTTGGTGCTTTTAAAAGGAGATTACGTGTAGATCATTTGTGAACCGCACCTTTGCCTAACTTTGGTGGTTTTACGTCAGTCCTTAAGTACGAGTCATCTGTAACGGCAGGTTGAGACACTTAAATTTTACAAAGGAGAACCGTTTTAATCACACAGTGGTAGGGCACTATTTATAAAAAATTCATGATAACAATAACAATATGCATTACGCGCACGACCACTGGCCGGGAGTAAATTACACAAATCACTATTGGAAATTAATATTTGCACGATACTGTACGTTTTTCTCCGTCGAGTCTTTCTCTACTTATTTGCGAGAAGACTCGAGAACAGTGTCGATCGAAACGTCGATGTGCACATTGCCAACCAATAGTTTCAAATAACCCATCGAAATTGAAGGCTGGGTCAATCGTGACCCACAGACACGCGTACGTATGAAGTATACGACGACTGTGCTCGTAGACTAAGGAGTAGGAACTATAGAGTGAATCTCCTCAGTGGCGATCACTAAATCAAACTGATAGGAAACTTTTGCTTGGAAATGTACCATTGACGGAAGACTCTACCGGCCGACGGTGTACGGGACTAATGTAGCGGTTACAGTGATTTGAAGGTGAATAGAAGATAGAAGAAGATGAAGAGACACACCTGGCAATGAGGCAGAGCTGGAGCTAGAGTGTTTGTCGAACTCGTCCCCGGCGCCTGGTGTGCGCGTCAGTCGGAATAACAAAGCAGTTGTACAGCAGGGTGTCAGGAGAAAAAATGTTTTTTTTTTGTTTCTTTTTTTTTCGGACCGTGTCACGCGGCGTCGCAACGCTACCATTCGACCGTAGGCTCCGTCAGATATTCTTTGAATTTCAAAAAATCGCGCGTGACAAGTATCGAGGTCGAGAATGAACGGTCGACTGAGAACCACTGACCGCCGCCGCGTGACTCACGGCGTAAAAATGTACGTGTACACGTCTAGTCGAGACGCGCAGACTTGCGCGACGTCGAAAATTGTCTCTGAGACGTTTCGGATTAACCCTCGGTATTACGAAACGTCGTGTACGACGTCTGAGTCAATTATGACCCGTAATCAAGATCTTATAGACACGATTACTATACGCATTTCCGTGTATAATATTTATTTATTGTATATATAAGAGTCTCTGACTGTGATAATGGACGAGTCACGAGTGACTCGGTCATAGGGACTCGAGAGTTAACACCGGGATCATCCGAGACGTTTCGCGATAGATCGAGTGTCTCGAAGATTTTGCAGTTTCCTAGAAGAGCATTGTGACTGGACAGAGATCAGGCTTGGGCATTATCCAAACAAAATATTTAAAAAAAAAAAGGCGTTAAGATGATATATTATGTTTTTTGACTACATATTATTTGAAATAATCGAGTGTTAGGTAATTTGTATTTGAAATGACCGAATTTTTCATTCGATTGAATATTTATTTAAATAAGTAAATTGAATTGAATAGAAAATGAAGTCAGTTTTCTTATGTTATTTGTAAAATAAAACTATTTCAGGTAATTCATTGTTAAAAATGATCATTGGCTACCTGATTTCAAATAAAATCAGCCCAATTCTGATAGAATTAATTGTTGCAACTATGCTGTCAAAACCCTCAAGACCTTCGGGGGCGTGTTCATGTACCGAGGCGATACCGGAGTACGGTTGTTGGAACTCGACTGTTCTCGACCCGCTTAAAAATAAACGGACAGACTGTACTCAGGTTAGAGAGATGATGATGATGATGATGACGATGTGGGGTGGAGGGATGTTTGTCGAATGTAGGGGTCGGTACGGCCTAAGAAGAAAGCAACTGTGGACGGGTAAACATTCACGGGCAGTGAGTGAGAGAGAGAGAGAGAGATGCGTTTAAAGCGTCGCAGAATGAAATCTTGTTTAAAGAAAACGAGCTAACGCTTCTAATGCGTCTAAAGTGCGACGGAAGATCGAAATCGGAAATGAAATCGCGAACCTCCGGGTCGTACGTTGGCGAACCGGACGAGAGCGTGAACTCAACAGACTCGGAAAAGAAAATTGGGGCGGGGGAAATGCGCGGGTACCAGAGCTGGGCGATCCTCTACTGCATCTATCCCCATAAAATGAAGTCCAACTAATTTTATTCTAGAGAAATAAACTTTCTTCTAGAGACAACCCTTTAATTTCCTGGATGGATCAGTAGACGCCTAAACTGGGTACTAAAAGAAGGGTATACCGAACCATAATGATGTATAGTACCCGCAAGAATGAAGATAGAATGAAAGGCAATAACCCAGATCCCCTATTCGTAGGTAGCCGTAAGAAGGTAGCTACTTCTATATAGGTCCATATAGATAACTACCTATTTCTTCCATCAGAAGATGCAAGATGGTGTTTATTTCCTAGATCTAGGTCTAAATTATAGCCCAACTCTGGTGGAAATCAAGGGATAGAGCCTCCTTTCGCGGGGAACGAGAGAGACCTAGGGACAGAGCGCGTCTAACCTTACTCTGGGAAACAATCGGATCGTCGGATCGAACAACGTACCTGCTCCTCTCGCGTATGGGTCGCGACCCGCTGGCACCTGCAGATAATCCCTGGGCGACGGACTCGGATGTGGGGCGTGTGTCAGAGCCTTCTGCACCAGCCCGGTCAGGTTGGCCAACTGTCTCTCCATGTGCTCCACCCTGATCCTAGGGGCAACGAAAACGGTCGTCAGTTAGGGTCGTCGAACAGGTTAAGGGCCGCAGGCTGAACATAGGCAAATCTAGGGATCTAGGGGGCTTTACACAACAAGGTGCTTCTACGGACACGTCGTACACAAAAGCGCTCGATAGATGCATTCTCTCTACGGATCGCTAATCGGCATGCTGCATTCCCACCGATTCTCAGTTGTCACGCGCGGAATGCTCGACCGAAACGTCGCGGAAGGGCACACAGTGTTCGGTCGTTCTTGGGGCATTCCGGGCCTAATTGTAAGATTGTGCAGCGATTTTCGTGGAATGTTCTTATCATTCGGTGTCACATAGCGAGACCAACCGGAAATGTTCCGAAGCAACAGTTTTCGGGATACTCCGAAGCATACCCAATTAATCTACATCATACCTAGCTCATGCATGATCCACATCTGACATGCACTGTCACATCAAACACCCCTGATGGTTCATATCTGTATGTTTGCCCATGGCTACTTTACATCTATCCGATCCAATCCGTACCAAATTCAGATACCAAACCCAACCCACAACCCCATATGAACACAATATGGGGACAATTTCGAAAGACCCTATTGTTTTCTGAATGTCGAAGACCGAATCCTTCGTCAGGACTGGACCATCATCTTCTTTTGTTTCCAGTTAGAGTTCAATTCGTGCTTGACAGTCCAAAGGTCGATGTTACCCGACGCGGTTCTACGACCACGATTTCAAAAACGCAGACCTCTTCATGCTTCGACGCGTACTATACATGCATCCAACGAACGGCCCGCGTTCCGGGGATGATCGGATCTATCGAGAACGGGACAGGGCAGCTAGAGCCTCCTCCGCCCGGGTCAATGGAGCGTTCACACCGACGATCGATGAACTCGGAACGCGTTGGATATAAATATAACCTAGCGGTGGAACGATGACCCGAGGGAGAGGTGCTTTTCACTTTCCACGAGCTAATATAAAGGGTGTAGAACCGAGACGATTGAATGATTCTGTCACGAATTCTCTGGTCGTATTGTTTAAGGACACCCTGTATATCCCTCTTTGCTGTTCGTTCGTTTTACCAGTTTTTTTGATCGTTTCCCCTGAGAACGATGGCCGTAGGATCTATGGACGACGCATTCGCAAGCGCATTCGAGTCAGATTATAAGCGTTCGGACCCTTAAGTCGCGTGTCCACTCGAAAATAGACTTCTCGGTGGGGGATGAAAAGTTTCAAGTGGACACGCGGCATAAGGTCAATCCCCTGTTAGGCCGAACCGCTTCGACGGGGGGCGTCTACGTTCAATCTTTGTTTTTTTTTTCTGGTTCTATCGACGTGTTTTATAGAAAGTAGGATCGTGGTACCGAGTAGCGTCGTAGCTCTGACCACCGGGTGGCAGAGGTGGTGGCGCCCCTGGAGGAAACGGGGATCGCGGAGGACCGGATGGCGGACGGCCCGGCGGTTTCACACCGTATAGGCTGTACGACTCCTCCAACAACTCCGTATCGCTGCACCATCCACAACAGAGATACACGTATCCGCGCTATCAGCCATCCACGAAGACACGCTACTGTTTCATCCCCTAGGACGCTCGCCGACCGTCTTGCACAGGGTGCTTGTAACTGGTCTAATGTCGAGTTCGGATCCATAGACTCCAAAGTTGGATCAGTCCAGATTGTGAACCTCCAAGTAGGGATCCTTGCATCCCAAAGCCTGACTACTCTAGATGTGGATAGAGATTGTAGACTCCAAAGTGGAGATCCATGGACCACAGATACTGATAGAAATAAAGGACATCCAAGTCAAGATCCCATGGAGTCCTGAATTGGGCCCATACAGACCCAAGTGAATCATGTACCAGCAAGTTGCTATCCCTGAATTAATTAGTTGAATGTGTCCCAAATCACGCTTAAGGAACCAATTAACACTATCCAAATTGTTAGTGTCTCATTTACAATCAGGCCACCCTGTGCAAGAGCCTCTAATTCTCTTTTCCACTCGAATATCTTCGCGATCGAAATTATGCTCATTGTCCCTGACGGGTAAAAGGGTTCGGAAAAATTTCGGTCGGCGCAGCGTCGGACTTCGTCCCGATTTAATTGAGGTCGTCCGATGACCCGTTTTTGTCGGAGTACACCCGATAGAGCAAGTTGATAAAAAAAAAATGCATGGAGCACCGGTTACCTGGCTTCTTCGTCGATGACTGGAGTGACGGTGCCTGAGTATTGCGAGTAGTACGGGTCCTCGTAGCTGCTCCCGGCGCTGTACGGTCCAGGCGGGTATCTCCCGCTCCCGGAGCCAACTCCGCCTCCTCTTTCGGGGCTGCTCATGTATCCGGCCTCCCCGTGCAATCGATCTACGGAATCGAAATGATTATTCGGACCCTGTGTACCCGTCAGCCGGACCCGCCTAAATCGCTGATCACGGTGTCGGTTCTGTGGTTGGACAGTGTTTCGTGTGTGTATGTGTGAATGGTGTGTGGCGCTACTGGGTAGGGTCGAGAGAAGATCGGACACGGTATGTTTTTCACGGGACGTGCGTGTACACCAACAATTAACTTACTACAAGTGACAATGGGAAACATGGACAACAGGGTACCGAGGGGGAGGGGGATGATGCTCTACTAGAATTACTGTATGCCACATGTGGAGGGTACATCGCAGGGTACTTCGGGTAGGTCGTGTCTCGTTCGATCGAGTACAATCTGGATTAGTGCAGTAGATTTTGATCGTAATTAGGGTTCTAGGAGTTCCGTTAATAGACGTTGGGAACTGCTAGGGACTTTAGGCTAGAGACAATACTCAGTTTGGGTGACATGGCCTGATTATGGCGAAGAGACAGTCATGATCTTACATGCCAGATGGACTAACTCTGGCGGGAGTTAGAGACTGTAGAGGTATTCGTATGTTTGTCAATTCATTGGAGTGACGTTATTGCATTAATCCAAACTTTACTACATCTCGGAGACACAATGTTCAATGAGTCTGTGAATCGGTTAACCACGTTGGTTCACGGACAACCAACGCCAATTCACGTTAGGGCCTTTCGTTAACGACCAAACCGCCTCCATAATCGAACTGGTCACTCTCCCCATGACTCGTCGAGTTTCGGATTCGAAGGGAACGATTACCGCCGACCTCGACCTCCTTTCTTTCGATGGTCCTCGAACCGATCGCGGTACTCTTATTGGAAGCGATATTATGTGGTCGTAAAAGTCAACCGGGGTCTGTAATTTTCCTGTCGTGGATTCTGGGACGAAAGAACGGGGCGCCGTTCACGTTTCCTTTGTCCTGATCCAGAATCGATGGCTTGCTAGGGTCTGAGAACTTGAATTTAACCTCCAGTCAATGGGGCTTTAATTGGTCACAGGTTCACTTTGCGACCACACTAGACCGTGTCCATTTAGAAAAAAATTCAGTATCAAGACAGGAGAAAGTAGGTGCCGTTTTATAGGTCGTTTAGGAGCCATTTAGAGTGTTGTTCCAGGGTGTTAAGAGAGATGGAGAACCGAGGGGGTTTCAGGGGGCTGGATTCCGACCGAGCTTTCCGAGGATTCTGTAAGGATAACTACTGACCTGCTATACTATAGAGGGAGACCGAGCTGTCTCTAGAGAAGCGAGCCGAGCCCCCGAGGCTTCCAAGGGGACTCTTACCGCACTGGTAGCTGCGAAGCGGCTTGGCCGGCGGCACCCCGCCACCACCTATCCAACCATCCGGAAAAACCAAACAGAAACCAATGTACCCAACTGTTTCGGTTCACGTGGCGTCTCTCGCTGAGCTCGTTCCTTCATACAGCAACGATTCCCATACTGCTCGCGTTATTCCCATATTCTTCAGGTTATTCCCTTACTACCCGAGCTATTCTATAACTGTTTGCCTTGTTCCCATATTGCACAAGGTGCTCCAATGTTGCTCAAGTTATTCCCTTACTGTCCACGCTATTCCAAGTCCGTTGGCGTTATTCTTATACCGCTCGAGTGATTCCCATACTGTTCGACCCCACTATTCCCATAATGTACGTATCTTTACCTTCCACCTACAAGATTTTTTTAATTTTCTGGAATATACCTAGCCGTCCATACTTGCACTCTGAGAAAACGTTAATGCATCGATCAGAGTTGTACCACATCAATAAAAAATACCCAGTTGATACGTTACAAATGGATTCAGAAATATTCTTAAAAGAAATATCGTACCCCTTTCGATTTCTCCAGTCGAGAATATTGATCCAACTCGTATATCGATTGTTGGGAGAAGCAAGCACTATGGGAGTCTGTGCTCTATTTCGCATGGTAGAAGTGCACCAACCGTCGGGGTATCAAAGATATATAGACACAATTTCAAGCGGAACTGTTCCGAAACCGGTACGTGCACTCTTCCATCGTGACGTGGCGAAGACGTGACACGGACAATCGTCGACTGTCGAGCAACGCGTGCGCAGGGGAAGGAGGATTTATGCGTCGATGATGCATTGGGAGGGAAGGGGCTCGTGCTGGCAATCCTGGCATTGAAAGCTTGGGCGAAGAAGATGAGTGGACGAGAAGGAGATGTGGCGGGTTGTTTGAATCGCAATGAACCAGCGCACGGCTCCGAGAGACTGGATCGATAGATCATTTGTGACCAGCACAATCAGAAACTCGACACTTTGTCCCATCAACCTGAGGTCCTTCTGGAACCGTGGCTCGTTCGGGGGATCGATCGTTACTGCAAGCAGGGTTAGATCCCGAGGGTTCTCAGCGCGTGCAGGTGCAAAATAGAGGTCAGATCTTCGAACTGTTCCGACAGCGTGCGAGTCTGTAGCGAGCAGGTAGCATCGAGTTACTCTATTAAATGGTCATTTCGAGGTCGATTGAAGGGATTAGCGGCTGATGGATCATAGCGAGACTGATTCAAATGGTTTCACTAGATTCACCTTAACTCTCGGCTGGTGTCGCCTAGGTCCAGTGTGACCCAGTGCTAAATTCACTTCTCAAGAATCCAACTCGTCAATTCTTAACGATTCACTTCAATTGGATCAAAGTTTCTCAACCTGGCGGTGCCTGGGTCCATTCCGACCAGTGTCTTCGAAAGTCCCGTTTATTTTCGCGTCACGATTCGTCATCCGAGTACCATAATCGAGTAAAAAATTCGACAGATTTACTAAGTTGAAAGTGAAGCAAACGATCCATCGATCCGTATCGATCATTTGACCTCATAGCATTTTGCTGTCTAGATATATGCAGTATAATGACACCTTCGAGTAATTCATTTTACAAACAACCTGATGTCTCGATGACGTGTACGGGTCAAATCTGACTCTGGCACCGGCGTGAGCAAAACATAGGGGGGGGGGGGGGGGGGGGGGGGGGGGGGGGGGGGGGCAAGCATGATGGAGATGAGACAGGCGCGTAGAAGCAGCGATTATTTCCCCGCGTAGGTCGCGCGATCGATTCTCGGGATATAATGCCCCCGTGCTCGTAGTCGAGCGTGAAGTCGAAAGTGTGACACCCATAGAACCCGTCAGCCGTACCTGGCGTTGACAGTGGTTTCGGCTGTGTCGGCGTGCCGGTCGGTCCACCGACGACTGACGATGCGGCCGGGCTGTACGCTCTCATCAGCTGACCGCCTCGTGGAAGGGTGCTGCTACCGCCTACGTAGTAGCCGCTGCTACCGGAAGTCGAGTTCTTCGCCGTCTGAAAACAGAAATGGTAACGAACCTTGTAGATAAATTTTGTTACGAATTACATGGATGGATGATAGTGAACCGCGAGTTCCTATGACCGGGTCACCGGTGACCTATCCATCGATACAATCATTAAATAAATATATAATTCTCCCACGGGTAATTTAATCCACGAATACCTATGAGTGGTTCAAAAGTGACCCGTCGGTGAACATTGCGATAGGAATATCGTTTTTTAAATTATAATCGTAATCATTGAAGAGTGTTGAATGCAATAGCGATAGTAATAAATTCTTTGTTCCGACTGTCGGTAGATGATGTTTATATCAATAATGATCCCTGAATTATATAAAAATTCAAGGAAGTAGGATCAAGGAAATGAAAGAAGGATAGAACGAGTTCGAGAGAAGTTGGATATAAAATATTGTCAGAAATGTCCAGATTTCTGTAGTCACCACACTTTAAAATCCGATAAAGGCAGTGTGTTGATTTATCGCGTGCCGGAACCGTGGGACGATACACCATCGAAAAGGAATGCGTCGAGATTGTATCTGACCGTTCCAGTGAAATATATGCGGGAGGATATCGAAAATGTATTTACGAAACAGTGCAGTGGCCCCGATAGGAAACGATGACCGCCTAGATAGAGAGTATTAAAACGTTCGAGCGTAGAAATAAAATCCAGAAATCAAATGAAACTTGTCTGTCAATCACAAAATTAACAAAATTAATTATTCTACTATCACGAAAGAATATTTTGCAACATACAACATTTTTTTTGTTATTATTTTATATTGACAAAATAATTTATTTTTTGTTACTGTTTCGTATTAAAAACACAATGGCAGGAATTTTACGTGAATTAATAAGTTACATTCGTTGAAGCAGTAACTCGCAAAACTAAGTTGGCGGTCAGTAGCCTGCGCGCCATTTTGTCAGTCGCGTCGCTCTTTCTATATTTTCTTTAATTCTCACCTGATTACCGATAACAACCAAAACGATAATTTACTTTCTCCACCATGGATGTATTCACTTTTTAATATTAATTAAACAAAACACGATAATTTCTATTCGAACCCGTCCTAAACTGGCCTGAATCAGGTATCTCATCGAAAATATTGCGTGTAACTCCGTTGGAGCGGTTAATCGCGTGATATCTTCGGCAAATACGATCTACAAGTTGTTTAAAAATCACACAAAGTAACGAAATATCGAAACAAACGAGAGAAAAAGAGATTAATCGAAAGTCTGGAATGAAACAGTCATTTTTGCATCAAGAATCATTGCAAAACTACATTTACCATCATTTTGATTGTATCATACAGTGTTGTTATTAGAAAGCATGCAATTTTCGTATGTGAATTCGAACTTACTCGAGAGAAAACACGCTGAGAAAGGAATCGTCGTTTGGCAATAAAGACGACACGGGCATAATTTTCGACTAGTTCATCAAAATTGGCCATTTTACGATCCATAAACCGCGAAAGATTGAAAATTTTTCCAATCGACGCTGAAATTTGCATTCTCCTGTATCATCTCCTTCACCATTTATCCATATTACGCGACTTTCGCGATTTCGAAAGCGAATCAGGCTCGTAAATATGCTTCTTATTTGGATCGGTGTTCTTTCTGTACCACATACAAATTATCTAACGTCTTGTCCAAACCTCGAAATCACGTAACCCGCCATTACACAATCCTCCTCGATAAGTAATTACGTTCTCGCTGTTCTTTCGTCGGCTTTTTTTTCCGATTCTTCCCAATTTGGGACGAGGTTACCTGTCGCGCTCGAACCATTCCCTTTTTCTCTTTAATTCCTGATACTGCGCACAATTATTTTCATACTAACAGCCGAAGTTCACTGAATCCCTAATTCCACATGAAACTATTCACGAAAAATAGTTCGAAGGTTCCTCCAATTCCAATTTCCATTCCATCGAAGGCATTCTATAATCCAATTAAAAAATGTTGATCGAAAACAGGGGCTAAAGTGAACTCAATTTCCACGTTTTCGACTTACCAGTTTTTACAAAATAATTTTCTTCGACACAATTTATCGATTCGAAACAATTTATCACATTCACCGCCGTGCCGGTCATCGGCGACAGTCAAGCAATAAAACATCAAATGTCAAGTAAGACAATTGCTTTGATTCAGCCGAAATAGAGTCCACGGTGAGCGTGTTAAGCGAAATGTTCGAGGAGTCGATAAGGGAAGATCGGTAACTAGTCCCCTGAAGCGTGACTTCCGGTGTTTCCGGAACCACGACCACTTGGAAACGGTCAGAGTACCCGTGAAAATGCCCAGAGAGCCGTGAGATCGACCAGTTTCGGTGCTCAGCGCGTCACGATCGACCACCTCCACACCTCTTGCTCTTCGTCCGCCACTGCCATTCGGCTCACGGGGCCCCGAGAGCTCGACCCGCCAGCTTAGTGTTGTTTACTCCCGCAGAGTGTCCGCCAGACCGTCATCGATCCTCCTCACCACCTCCAGCGAATCGTGAACAGTCTACCAAAAACGGTGACACCATGATCACCAGGCAATAAGAGAGCTACCCTGTCAGCAGATTAGAAGAGGAATCGAGGGTTCAAAGTGGAGAAGATCGAGGGATGACTTGGGATGGAGGAGACGTTCGGGTTAGGTATACCTCTTCGAGGCAGTCTGATTCTACTGATGGCGATCCAGTGCCTGGGAATCACGAGCCTGAGACACCCTGGAACTCCATTGCACAAAGTCCTCTTGACGCAGAAAGGATACATACAGGTGGGAGCTAACCCTTTCCAGACCCCTACATTGGCTGTGTGTCACGGTTCCTCAAGATCTTGTCCCTTATTGTTGAATTTTAACTGTAGTTAGATGTCTATTGACGGAAGAAAAGCTTGAGAATTCGACACGACTTCGGTAGGACAAGCTGGACCTTGTAAGATGTTCAGCCTTTGGGCCTAAGTGACTAGTATCTTAGGGGTATTATCTGAAGCTTCTCTGGATCGTACCCTTGGCCGTTTCTCCTCGAAAATTCAAGATCAACGTCCCTAAATTCTATAGAATTTGATTCCTGACCAGATTTCAGACAGGTCCTTTCCGAAAAAATTCGATTTCTAGGATACCCGTCGTTCCCGTTACGAAATCCACGACTGCCAGAAGAAAGCTTAGAAAGCTATGTGGATCCGCACGCAACGCCCCTGATCTAGTTTCGCGCGGTGTTACGTCGCGTTCTCTCTCTCCGCGGTTGGAAATGGCTATTTTCAGACGGCAATGAACGTGGATAGGCACGATTATGAAAACCGACCGTTCATTAGGGGACCGTTTATGGCTGTCGCCTCGTTTAATCCGTGCCCCTATGTGTTTTTCAGTTCCTCAGATGGCAGCTGCCCGTTCCGGAGCTAAGTGAGTTCACGTTCTGCCTATGGCTACAGTCCGACGACCTCACTCACCCTCATCCAATCTTCTCGTACTCGAGTGAGTACACATTGGTAAAACACTTTCGCGGCACGCACTTACGCGATATGGTCACGCGAATGAATTTCACGTGGAAATCGGTCACTTTTCATTCGCCTACTTCTCGAACCTCGTCCGCGAAATCCCGTTGCTGAAACGTTGTTCCACAAGACGATTCCTTTCTCTCTATATAATCTGTCGACAGTATTTTATTCCGGAAATAGTAGTTCACACCTTGGTTTCATTAAAAATGGAATATTTAAAAAAAGAAATACTATAAACTTGTAGTAATGTTCGCGAGATAAATTGTAGATTAAAGAACAAATTTCCCTAGTTGGTAGCTTTCAGTCCCCAATGGGAATCTTGAATTCTATCACAGAAGGTCCTTACAAATCCTACCCAATTCATCATCGTTGAAACTTAATACAGTGTTCCCTCCGTATAATCACGCCACTCGGTTCCCATAACGTGATTACAGACAATGATGTCCCTAAAGACGAGTGAGATGGAAGAGAGGCTTGACAGCCCATAAGATGACGGTGTCACTTTAGCTATCAGGCGCAATTATAAGGAGGGAAAGCTGCATTTCTCAGAACTGTCACATCCACGTTTCGAATTTTTATCCTCCGTTTCAATCCGTCATTCTGGCAACTCACGTTGAATCCCCGACAGAGAACGAAAACGAACGACTAATCCGAGCGTGGATATCGCCCCACGGTAGGAGCGTGCACCTGGAGATGGGCGGGACAGAGGTGTTCGCTGCGTCGACCGACATTCGCGAGAACCGTTGGTACCATTTATGCCAGAGCTGGGAGAACCGGGACGGTCGTTACGCTCTGTGGGTGAATGGGCAGCTTTGGGTTCAAGGCCGTTCGGAAGAGGTACGTAACCATCAAAGAAGATCCACAGAAAAGATCACTGTCCACGCCGAGACCTTCATTACTTGAATCCTTTTCTATGCTACTTTCCATTCGATTTCAATCGGAAGCCAAGAGCAAGGTAGTTTTCGACTATAGGCTTTTTAGGCCCTATTGCTCGATATTGGGGTACGAAGCCTGGGCCAATCTGGGCGACAATCATCAACTTTACCCATTTAACGACCTGATAACTATTATTCACAACTAATTAGTCGCACGCAACCGGCCTATTAACTTGGTTACTTACATTTGCGCAACTGTCGCTTTAGCTGGCCTAGGGTTAGGCTTACCACAACTATTCTAAAAAATCTTCTGGTGTCTTCAATGATTGAATCGTTTAATTTCTTGGTGTTTACCACTTCAAACCATCATACTCATTGATATTACAATTCGACTGTCACCGTTTTCAGACAGTGGGACGTGTGATACCCAGCAAAGGGGACATCGTCCTTGGCCAGGAGTACACGGACTTTGACAAGGGCTTGGAGGACGGGATCGAGGGTTCGGTTTTTGGTTTCAACCTGCTCCTAGCGTCCGCCTTCGACCCCATTCGCTACGATCTACAAGAGCCATTGTCTTCAGCCTCGAACCACGACACGATCCCAATATTCACGAGGATCCAACCGAAACCGATGCATCGGAGCCTGGTCTACGG